ATTTGTTGCTAGGACGAACATGGCTGTTAAATGGATATAACAGTCATAACACCTCTTAGACAAAAATCTTGCGTCCTAAGACCTTAATTCCCTAGACAAGGTATAAGAGGAAAGGAGTTAAAGCATCATCTCAATAAGTCACTTATTTCTAGCCTGCCATTTGCCAAGCCCTGTTTTAAGCAGGTTAAATGTATCTTTCATTGACTTATTTCCTCATAAATTTCGATTGTATAAGTAGAATATAATTGTTCTATTTTAGGTGAAGTTTAGTGAATCACACAATTCTAGGTCAAGGATTGGCAATCTATGGTCCACGGACCAAATTCCAACACTGTCTGATTTTGCAAATAAAGCTTCACTGAAACAGAGCCACACTCATTCATTTATATATTGTCCATGACTGCTTTCAGGCTACTATGGCAGAGTTGAACTGTGCAGCTTGCAAACATATCTACTTCAAATACTTATTTGTGATGGTTATAGAAAAACTTGCCAACTCCTGCTATATTCCTGATTGTTTTAAGTAAATGTATGAAAAAATTATGTTTCAAGCTACATTTTGACTAAACCATTGAAATTTGTGTGTGTGTTTCTATCAGAGGAAGAAATTATAACAATGTTCAATGGGAGAATTTCCTAAAGATTCAATATCTACTTATTTTTTATCACAACTATCAAGGTTGAGTAACTCACAAACAAAACTTAAGAACTATTCTAGCCAAGTACGTACTCTACACAAGTCACTCGAGGAGGTTCTGAGGAGGTGGGGGGAATAGGGAATTACAAAAAGCAGTTTCAGATTAAGAGGTTAATATGGTTTGGCTGCATCCTTACCCAAATTTCATCTTGAATTGTAGCTCCCATAATTCCCACATGTTGTGGGAGGGACCCGGTGGGAGATAATTGAATCATGGGGGCATTTTCCCCCATACTGTTCTGGTCTCATGAGATCTCATGGTTTTATAAGGAGTTTCCCCTTTCGCTTGGCTCTCATTCTGACTTGCCTGCTGTCATGTAAGATGTGTCTTTTGCCTGCTGTCATGATTGTGAGGCCTCCCCAGCCACGTGGAACTGTGAGTCCATTAAACCTCTTCTTTATAATTTACCCAGTCTTGGGTGTGTCTATATTAGCAGTGTAAAAAGAGACTAATACAGAGGTATTTTCTATTTAGTGAGGAGATATAAGCACAGACTCCAGGTAAAATGAGTCTCTCTGCTCTGTGCCAGTTCTTAATTCATACTTCTAATTTAAGACATGTCACAACCAGGGTGCCCAAAGAATTATGTACCTATCTACGAAAAGGTGAGAAACTAGGGATATATAGACCATCACTTATTCAACTTTGTATCCCTCACATTGCCCAAAGAAAGCTATGTACGTTTTAGGCACTCAGAATTTGTTGAATTTGTCTTTTCTGTCATAAAAAAGATGAAATAACAATGAATAGAAGTTTCTCATGAATGACAGTGCATGAATTCAGCCATCCATGTTTGCAACCTACTCCTTCCCATATCTGTCTGGAGCTTCTCATGAATGACAGTGTATGAATTCAGCCATCCATGTTTGCAACCTACTCCTTCCCATATCTGTCTGGAGCTAGCTCTATTGGGACCCTTTAAGGAGGGAAAAAGATATTCAAAGAATTTTATGGTGCCCACAATTGATTAAAACAACTGAGCATTCTTTTTCCTCAGAAGAAAAAAGAAGATGCTATCTAATATGATGCCAGGGAATGCTGTGGGATTTCTCTGGCCTTGCCACATCATTGGAATGAAATACAGTAAGTATGTAATGAAGATATTGCATATTCTGCTGGAAATCATTTTATAGAGAAAGGCAGGTGTTATAACTCTTCAGATTTAATTTGTTTTCTCCAAGAGTATCAGAAATCTGTTAGTCCTCCATAAATACAAATAAAGAGGCCCCAATAATTCCACTAGCCTGTCAACTACTCTTATCTAAGACTGGACCTTCTTTTGCTTCCTATTTTAAATACAAACATTAAGTAATACGATTGCTTCTGAATCCTCTCCTCCCAGTGGAGTTGCTCATGTAATTTGCCTCCTGGGACTTGGTCAGATGTCTGCTCCTAATTCTCAAAGATCACCTACTTCCACATGGCATGCTTATTTCTTTTCAAAGAAGCAGCACAGAATGTATCCAACTGCATGGCAATATATCCCATGACGAAACCTCCTGATTGATACTACTTGTATAATAGAGCTCATTTTCTGAAAGTGCACCTAAAGAATTTTGTGTGGTCTCATCCCTTCTCTCGTGACCTGTTAGTAGCTCCTTTGACTGGGTTCCAGAATTCTGAATTGGTTCAGTGGCAGATACAAAAAACTTTCTTTTCATCTTGAGTGCTGCTCTCGGAGCTGTCTCTCTCCCACAGAGGGTTCTTTTTTGAGCTATCCTTTCTAAGGATTTTTACTGTAACCCATAAGGATTCAAGTTTTATCTTCCTTTTGTTCCTTTCCAACATCAATTAGTTGGTGAGGCAAACTGAGACAAAATACATGTGCAGTTTTGAACCAGGAATATAATTCAAAGCTGACAGTGGTTTATCAGCCTGACAGTTCTCTATCCTTGTCCCTTAAATATTTGATTTGATATAAAATACAAACGTTCAAAAAATGTTTGTGAAATGGAATTGAGTTGAACTGAAATGTTTAGGAGTAAAATAAAATGGCAAAATTAAAAACAAAGCAACTCAAACAAAATCAACACCTAAAATTTGAAGTGAAACATCTGTTTTAATTTTCTCACTACTTTTAATTGCCCCTACACATAATATACTGATTTCAAAACAAATGCAATTATCCCCTAAGTTAAGGGACACACCTTTTAAATTACCGGTATCTAACTGAATTGCAAAAATCTTTGTGCTCATCTGTTGTGAGGCTTTTTATGAGGCTGACAAATCTAAGAGGATAGAAAGTAGCAACCCCAGGAAACATTCTGCTGAGGTATTCCCAACAGTGTAGGATTAAATTACCACCTTACAAATGAACAGAAAGAATGCTTTACAAACCAAAATATTTTCTCCCTTCATGGGCTCTAAAACTCTCTAAACAGTTTTGATGAATCTGGTACTATAACAATAACAATTATATAAGGGCAGAAATGGATAATCATTACAGTGACATTATTTTCTTACTAATAATTTCTAGTTTGATTGTTTTTGTAGGTCATTGAATAAGGAAGGCAGAAATGATCCTATGGCACTATCATCAGCTTGACTTTTATTGGATTTAAATTAAAGTACAAACTTGAATGGAGTGTATATACGTTTGGCCTGTATTTCTCTGGCCTTCAAAAAGAACACATCCAAGTGTCGGTATGGACATGAGCCAGGAGCATGAACCCAGAGCAGGAGAATTCCCAGTGATTGGGTGCTGCTTTAACTATGAGCTGTTTTTAGTTGGTAGAAATACATTTTCCCCAAGAAAACACCTTCTAATTCTATATAACTTAAAAAATTGCAAAGCCGGCCGGGCGCGGTGGCTCAAGCCTGTAATCCCAGCACTTTGGGAGGCCGAGACGGGCGGATCACGAGGTCAGGAGATCGAGACCATCCTGGCTAACACTGTGAAACCCCGTCTCTACTAAAAAATACAAAAAATTAGCCGGGCGCAGTGGCGGGCGCCTGTAGTCCCAGCTACTCGGGAGGCTGAGGCAGGAGAATGGCGTGAACCCGGGAGGCGGAGCTTGCAGTGAGCCGAGACTGCGCCACTGCACTCCAGCCTGGGAGACAGCGAGACTCCGTGTCAAAAAAAAAAAAAAAAAAAAAAAAAAAATTGCAAAGCCAGAAAATCACTTTTCTTTGTGTCTTTCAATTATTCTGTTTGTGTCTTTTGTTCTGTTCTTGTTTTCTTTACGCTGCAATGCACTATTACTTCCAAATTTCATGGGCATGTACCAGCCCTTAGATTTTGTATACAAAAACAAGTTTTTCTTCTGTATTTTCTTCTCTCTTTTAACATAAATCAATCAGACACTCTTAACCTATCATTTAAACATGGGTGCCTCTGCTCCTGGGGAATAAATAATACTGGCCTACCTTGACAAATTGTTTTCTTTCTAAAATGTAACATAAATTCTTAGTTTTAATTTAATGATAAAAACTACTAAGTTCACCGGCTTCCCCAAATGCTTCTTTTAGGCATTTTACTCATTGTCAAATAATAAAACCTTTTATATTTTGTTTAGAAAATACAGAATGATGAATCAATTTAGCAAACTGTTTCCAAGTAGAGGAGCAAATCATTTGGGAAATAATAAGTTGCCCCAAAGGGGATAATCTGTTAACATACTAAAGACATTACACCTCCAATATGAGGAATTGTTAAAATGATTGTGCATTTATTTCAAAAGAGAAAACAATTGTCAAATTTTGAATACTGCTGCTAATACAGCTTAGTGATGTTCATTCAGAGAAGAGGCCCATAAATTCTGCTTATAGAGACCTTTATGAGCAAATTGCATAATGCAGAGAACTCTGGATATAAAGACATTTCCTTAAGCAAATGCTGTTAATACTACTTGAAGAAAACAGCTTATATCAAGATAATAGATGTTGCTAAAAGAGTGATAGGAATTTACTTGATTGTCAAATGAACCCCAGCCTTGGAATGCCTTTTCCCAAGTTATCAAGTATTGAATATAATTCATATTTAGTGATTTATATCATAAATATGTACTCAAACATTTGCAGCATTTATGTTTTACTGCTGTAGCCATATGCTGTCAAATTCATATGCTTGCTAAATTCTGTCTTGTCAGCTCAGAGCCTGTTTGTAAGTCACGTTCCATTGAATGACTCATAAATTAAACTTGTAGAGAAACTACAAAGAACTAAAATTTCTCTTTGGTAATGCTTCATGCACTGGTCTGAAAAAGTTCTCTCACAATATTTAAATGAATAAATCAATGATTCAATAGATTAACGTTTGAGAAAGAAACATGACATACAAGAAGTCAAACATTTAATACTCACTGTAAAGAATAGTTCCATTTAAACTGTTTGTTTTTATAGTCAAGTAGATGGTAACAGTTCTGTTATGTTCCTTCTCCAGGACGAAGTTCAAAAAGGGCAGTTCTAAATAGGAATTCCCACTGAAAGATGGAAAAAATAAACCTGCATCTAAAAAAGAAAATCGTATTAATATGTTCTGATAGCATTATATTGCTACTCAAATAGATAAAAGCTTAGCATTTATAGTTAGCATTCATTTAAAAAGGTAACACTAATATTTAAAATATTTGGTCCAATTTTAAGAACTTTAGATATGAAGTATAATAAATTTATATTTATTGCCTCAAATAACTACCAGTATAGAGGAAAAGACTGAATAAGAGTTATAATCTGATGTTCATGGATGGGTTTTAAGAAGTAACAAACACCCTGAAATTGTCTGAAAAAATCTGTGTACTTGCATTGTGAAATCATAGTTCTTCACCAGATTCTTTTGCGATATTTTGTGATGCAAAGGTTGCATTTTTAAATTTTTAATTTTTGTGGTCACATTGTAGGTATATATATTTATGAGTTTCATGAGATATTTTGATTCAGGAATACAATGTATAATAATCACATCAGGGTAAATGGAGTATCCATCACCTCAAGCATTTATCCTTTGGGTTACAAACAATCAAACATTGAGTTATACACTTAAAATTGATAAATTTTATTTGATGTAATTATGTCAATAAAGTGAAAAAAATTGTGACACAAAGATTAGAGAACTGTCACACTGAGGAGTTTTATTAATGTTCATTAATATTTAGTGCTTTTCAATAATATTTAGGTATTTTATAAGTAGTATTACTATAATATGCAAGGTTATTAGTTTTAGACTTACAGAATTATTTTTATCTTAAATAGCTAATCTCACAAAATCTTGATGCACATAAAATTTGAAACATTTCATTGATATAGATCTATATTCACATCTATTAAAAGATAATTGGTACATTGAACAAGTGCAACACATAGGATGTTGAAAATGCAACCTTTTTTTTTTTTTTTTTTTTGAGATGGTGTCTCACTTTGTCAGCCCAGCTGAAGTGCAATGGAGCAATCTCGACTCACTTCAGACTCAAACTCTCAGGCTCAGGTGATCCATCTGCCTCAGCTTCCAAAGTAATTGGGACTACAGGCATGTGCCACCACAACTGGCTAACTTTTGCATTTTTAGTAGAGATGGGGTTTCACCATGTTGCCCAGGATGGTCTTGAACTCCTGAGCTCAAGCAATCTGCCCAAACTCGGCCTCCCAAAGTGCTGGAATTACAGACGTGAGCCACTGTGCCCAGCCAACTTTCTTTTTTGTCTTTTTCATAATGGGGGGAGTTTTCTCTGCCACTGGATGGACATTTAGTATTTCTGATGATTCTTACCATCTAAGTCATACAGTGAGTGAGAAACTAATATCCAGTCTAAGAAATTTAGTAACATTTAACTGTTCCATCAGAGATATGATTTCTCCTATCCTCCTTCACCAGTCTATCTCTAGGTGGCCCGACACCTGCTGTCTTCCTTGAGGGGCAGAAGTAACCCTGGTTTCTGTTCTTTTTCTCATTTTATCACCTCTCCTTCAGATTAGCTGTTGTTTCTGACCCTTCCAGCTTTGAACGGGGAGAAGGCAAGGTGGGATGGAAAGGAAAGATGACACAGTAAAGAAGAGCTGTTAGAACTGGCAATTGTACTGTTGTAACCAGGCATCTTGCTCTTTAGGAAGGGAATATGTTTGAAACTGATTGTTTCTTTCATGGTAGGCATGCCAGATAAAATACAGGATGCTCAGTTAAATAACAAATAAGTTTTTTATTGTTGTGTTTTTTTTCTTTTCTTTTCTTTTTTTTTTTTTTGAGACAGTTTTGCTCTGTTGCCCGGGTTGGAGTGCAATGGCCCGATCTTGGTTCACTGCAACCTCCACCTCCCAGCTTCAAGCGATTCTTCTGTCTCAGCCTCCCGAGTAGCTGGGATTACAGGCATGTGCCACCATGCCCGGCTAATTTTTGTATTTTTAGTAGAGATGGGGTTTCACCGTCTTGGCCAGGCTACTCTCGAACCCCTGACCTCAGGTGATCCACCTGCCTCAGCCTCCCAAAGTGCTGGGATTAGAGGCATGAGCCACTGTGCCCAGCCCACATAAGTTTTTAGTATGTCTCAAACATCACATAAAATATACTAAAAATAATGCTGTTTAGTTGAAATTTAAATTTAAGAATCCTGTATTTTCAGTTGCTAAATCTGGTAACACTAAGACTCATGAGCGTTTATTCAATCTTTGGAAACTCTTTGTCAACTGCCACACCTAGGATTTGCAGTCATACCCTACCTTCTTTGGCTGGTCACTTCTATCTTGGTCTTGCTCTGATTTTTCAAACTCTTGTTGTTGACAATGACTTGCCTGTGTCAGTGTAAACACTGCACAGATTAAGTTGAATAGGCAAGGATGACTTTTCTCAAGGCTATTGCAGTAAGGGAGAGGCTAGAACTCAGTCTGAACTCAACTCCTTTGTGATAAAGGGTGGGAGAGTTTTCAAGAGCTGGAGTGAGAGAGTATACAGGCCATCCGTGTTTGCTAATTGGCTTTACTCAAAGGATAAATAAACTTTCTGTTATCTTTGTATCAGAACATAGTTTTACAACTGGGATCAAGGCACCCATTGAAGTTAGTCTTATACCCTCCCCTAGAGGTAGACAGATGGGGTGCTGTCTTCTTTTATGATTACATTTCAGGGGAACAGTGGTTCCAAGAACCTTAAGAAGGAAATTCCTGGCTGGTAAAACTGACAAGAAGATATTTAAAAGATTTGTGTTTCAAAGACAACAGAGAAATCATTTAATATGGAAAATTTTCTAAAGTAAATGCTCCAAGAAAAGGGAGACCAGGGACCTAGAGTCAGGAAGAATCCTTTCTAAAGTTTAGTTAAGCTAAGAAGAGTGTTAAGGTCATCTTAGTAACTTAACAAGGAGCATTTGGGAAGAACATAAAATGACTTTCAGGCCAGTTGCTTTTCCTGAGGCGTACATAACTAGTACGTGGTAAAGACTCTTAAATTCCCTATCATCTCCTGCCCTACTGTATGTGGGATATAGTTAATTTCCAACCAAACTCTGTCTCTCTCTCTTTTTTTTTTCTGAGACAGTCTTGTTCTTTTGCACAGGCTTGAGCACGGTGGTGCAGTCTCTGCTCACTGCAACCCCCGCCTCCTGAGTAGCTGGGATTACAGGCATACACCATCATGCTTGCCTAATTTTTGTATTTTTAGTAGTGACAGGGTTTCACTGTGTTGGCCAGACTGGTCTTGAACTCGTGACCTCAAGTGATCCACCTGCCTTGGCCTCCCAAAGTGCTGGGATTATAGGCGTGAGCCATCCCACCCAGCCCTTTCTCTGTCTTTCTCTCTCCCCCTCCTTCTCCTTCCAGACACACACACACACACGCACAGACACATGCTGTTTTAGCTCAGCTATGAATGTATGAGTCCATAGGTCAACAGTCCATGGTGCTACTTTCCAAGTGATCCAGTTGTAGCTATCCCCAAACACATTGTCAGATACGATGGGTGGAAGAGGGTGGGGAGTGAGGTCCATAAGACAGCCTTCTTCAAAAACATTTTCTCAAAATTATCTCTTAAAATCCTCTCCAAAAAAAAAAAAAAAATCCTCTCATCTAAATACAAACCCTTTTTAAATCAAGAATACTTTCTAGTTAAATCTTGCTTTTAGGTATGGCACCTCATTTGTTTACAGTGTTATATCCTGTCGTGCAAAAGAAAGTTTATTTTTAACATCCTGTTTATGCCTATAACTTGTGAAGATTACTTGTGAGAATCAGGTATAAACAGTACAACTTATGTATTATTAAACTGCTTGACTTAAGTTATATGGCATCACAAAAGTTACCATTTCTTGGCCTCTATACACAATCTTTTACTCTTTGAAATTTACCTACGTCGTTCTGCATTTTATTGAATCTTTTCTTTTCAAAGGTTAGTAAAGCCTTGTTAGCAAATCCTTCATCAGTGCTTATGAACACTGATGCCTAGAAATCTCCATAATACTAAGCCCTTATTTTTATTAAAACTTTCTCTTTCCTTGTCTTTCATGACACTGTTCTGTACTTTGGCTGTCTTCTTACCTACCTTTTGCAGACTGTTCCTTCAACCACTTTAAAACACACATCGTTTCCAAGGCTCTGTCCTCTGTCTTGAGTCCTCTAATCATTTCTGACTTTTCTACATCTGCTGCTCCTTCAGTTTCTAACTCACAGTACTTAGTGTTCCAAGCTTAGAAACTCAGCATCATTATCTACTCATCTCTTCCCAAACTAGTTTCTAGATCCTGACACTTCTTGCTTAGATCAGACCTTGTATCTTTCCTTCTGCTACCACAACCCTTGTTTAAGTTCTCATTGTTTCAACTAAACTGTTTCAGTGGCTTCTTTCTAACTTGCTTTCCTTCCTACAGTGTCTATTAGTTGTCATTGCTGCCATGTCAATTTTATTCCATCATAATTACCTCAGGCCTTTGGTCAAAAACTTAGTGACTACAGTATAATTAATCAAGTAAGCCAGGCCCTCCGCAGTCTTACTTTTTAGTGCTTCTACACATACGTATCTCCTGGTAAGGTTGAACCAACTCTCTTTTGTTGCTCTACTTGTGTTCACACTGTTCTATCTTTGTGGAACATCCTTCCTCAAATCCTAGGTATAAAATTTCTCCCTTAATTCAAGGCCTACTTGAATATTCTCCCAAATTTGAACTCCTCAAAGCATTGTATCCACAGCTTTTTTTAAGTCTACATATTGTTTTTTTATCCTACATTACAATTGTTGGCATAACTATAGAATTGGTAATATAGTAAACCCAGTAATTTGGATGAAGGCAGTGAAGTGACTTTAATTGTTAGAAACAGAATGTACTAAGCATGTGAATTCTAAGAAGACACTGGGGAAAATATGAGTTAAGGAGGTAAGTTTCCTTTCTTGTGACCAGAAAAGATTATAACATAGTTGGAATGTCACTGATGGAACAGAAGCTTTGCAGATGCTGAACTGCACATGCATCAATTTTTAATGATATAAGAAGAAAAGCCATATGCCAATCAAGTTAAGATGCAATATAGCTAGC